TCAATGCGGGGCAGACCTGCATTGCGCCCGACTACGTCCTGTGCAGCATGGAGATGCAGGAGAAGCTGATGCCTGCTCTGCGTGAGGCCATCACAGAGTTCTATGGCTCTGAGCCCCGCAATTCCCCTGACTTTGCCCGCATTGTGGGGGACAAACAGTTCCAGCGCGTGCGGGCGCTGTTGAGCAGCGGGCGTGTGGCCATCGGGGGACAGACGGACGAGGAGGAGCGCTACATCGGTGAGGGCTTGAATTTCAGATAATCCTGCTCACCCTTGCATAAGGTGGTGTGGATTTTGGACAGGGTCTTGCAGCCAGAGAGGAGAGAGAAGGGACATTTAGTTTGCATGGCAGCTTGGTGAGGCATCCGGCCTTAGAGGAGGGACCTGTGCACTGTAGATGAAGATAGCATCCCCAACCTCCAGGCACGGCTGACACCTTCAGGTTTCTTTCTTTGCAGCCCCTACTGTGCTGGTGGATGTGAAGCCCTCTGACCTTGCCATGCAGGAGGAGATCTTTGGCCCTATCCTGCTCATCATTACAGTGGCCAATATGGATGAAGCCATTGACTTCATCAACAGCCATGAACGGCCTCTGGTTGTGTATGCCTTCTCCTCCGACAACAAGGTAGAGTGCCCTGGCTGTGCATCTGGCCAACTCTCCTCACCAAAGATTTTGGCTGAAGGATTTTGGCCCTGGCTCTGCAGGATGGATGGCAGCTGGGGTCACGGCATCAGCACCATGTCCCCTTCTGTGCTCCCTCCAGGAGGTGAACCAAGTGCTGGAGAGGACGAGCAGCGGGGGCTTCTGTGGCAACGACACCCTGATGCACGTGACGCTGACCTCGCTGCCCTTCGGTGGTATCGGTAGGTCCAAGCCTCCAAGCTTGAGGCAGATGCGAGCCCCCAGCTTGTCCCACCTGCACCCTTGGCTTCAGCTCCCAGGGCTGAGCTCCATGGCTTTGCAGCCACAGTGTGTGAAAAGCACCGAAAGCTTTCTTCTCTCAGTGGTTGCTGTCCCAGGCAGCATTCCTTATGTATGTGGAGATGTCTTATTTAAGAAGTAGGAAATCTGAGATAGCGCCAGCAGAGGAATATCTCTAGACTTTAAGTTTTTCAAGGATCTTCATTTTGGGCTGCAGGTCTGAATACAGCACAATTTCCTATGAATTTCTAAGCATATGAAGTCCCTTTCAGCAAACACCTGAAGCCACATATTGCAGAAAGCTCTTGAGGTATAGACAGCACTGAATCCAGATCATCTGGATCTGGAGACATGACAAGGAAAAGCTTCACAAGCATTTACCATCATCCCATCTCAGAACTGAGAAATCATTGAAGAATGTGCAACTCCTGGTGGTCCTTCTCATTGCTCCACACAAAGCTTTTTGCAAAGATTTTTGGCAGACCCTGAAAAGCTCTAAATCTTATTCTGACCCTTTTGCTGGGGGTTTCCTCCTGGAAAAGGCAGCTGTTGCTCTATTTCCTGTGACGCTGTGGTCTCCTCTGTATGTATCCTGGCCACCAGGCAGTGCTTTTAGATTTGCATTTGATGAACTCCAAACACTGTGCAAGGAATCCCTCATGACACGAAGGAAGTCCATATCCACTGTAAGTCCTACGCTCCTATGTGCCGGCTGACTTCTGAGCCACTGTAGATGCTTTCTGCCCACCCTTTCTTTCTCTGAAGTCTTGCACAGGCAAAGCTGGGTCCAGTTCTGCACTCTTTTCTATCACAACCCTATGCAGATGTGTGAGTAGGAGCAGAGCACGTGTGGACCTCCAGAAGGTCTCCCAGCCTCCATCTGTTTCCAGATCAGAGGATTTGCTATGCCAGAAGGGCACTTACTCAAGTTCTCCTTAAGTTCCAGGAAACTCCTGAACACCACAGCACCCCGGTGACATGTGGTTTCACAGCTCAGGGACAGAAACAGCACTTTGGGACCGTCACTCTTCTGACCCATTCTATTTAGGTTAAAAAAAAAAAAAAAAGCAAACATATTAGCAAGAAGCGCTTTGCTTTTTCCTTGGTGATGAAGGAGTATAGATGATGGAGACACCCAGGCTTGAGGATGAGCTTTACTGCCAGCTCCTGTTCTCCAGAAGAGGTTTCAGCTGGCTCAGTGATCTCCCTGCCTCTTGGGGCTGAGTATGAACCACCACTGAACAACAGCACAGGAAGGTTGGAAGGGACCTTGAAAGATCACCACGACCTCGTAGAGTGAGGAGGTGTTTTGGGGAGGCTGTGCTCATGGTAGAGAAGATGCTGCAGTAGGTAAGTGGGGCTGATGGAAGCTCTTGCTTGCTGCTGTCTGCTCTGAGCCACTCTGGCACCACCTGAGGTTTTGGGACCAGGAACTTCCACTGCTGCATTTAGAGCCAAAAACAGAACAGAAACTTGAGAGGGGAAGGAGGAAGCTGCAGTGCAAGAAGAAAGAAAGACAAAGAAATGAAACCTGTTTATCAAAAGCTTTAAGAAGAACCACATGAGGCTGGGAACAGCTCAGCTCCTCTGCACGAGGGCAGCAAGGAGGCGGCACTTCAGATCCTCTCCCCTAGGCAGCGGTATGAGGAGAAAGGCTTCAGCCTGCCCGCCTCGGCTCAGAGGCTTTCGAGGACACAGCTCCTCCTAGCGAGGAGGTGATGCCCTGCCAAAGTATTGTTCTGCCCACGTTTTCTGAGCCTCGCCCGGTGCTCAGCGCTTTGCGCTGGGGCTAAAGAACGCAAACGGTGACACTGAGGTTGCGAGTGCGGCCGGGAGCTTTTCCCCCACCCGGGAGCCCAGAAGCCTTGTTGGGGGCCCCTCCACCCCTCGCTCTCTGTCCCGCTGCCCTCCCAAGCCCTCCCCACGTTTCTCCTCGGCTCACCGACCGCGGGTCGCTGTATGCTGTGCGTTGCAGGGTCCAGCGGTCTGGGGATGTACCACGGCCAGTTCACCTTCGACACCTTCACCCACCACCGCGGCTGCCTGCAGCGTGGCACCGGCCTGGAGCCCATCAACACCCTGCGCTACCCCCCTTACAGCGCCCACAAGATGGGGCTGGTCCGCGCTGCCACCTCGGTCAAGCGCCGGGGGGAATGCCTCCTGCTCTGAGGCACCGCCACGACCGCCCTGGTGCCTCCACAGCCGCGGGGGCCCTCCAGCCATCAATGTCGTCTGTTGACTCCAAGTGCCTCGCTGTACCTGTCGCTGGCTTGGTGACACCCAGGGCCTCCTGCCTATCAGCGTGGGGTGGAGCTGGTAGCCAGTGGGATGGGAGAAAAGAAAAGAGTTGGGGCTTGGGGGTGGAACCAACTATAGATGGTGGCCCCCAGTTCTTGGTGCCCCACTTTGCCCTCAGTGCCCCCCAACTCCCACTTCCCCCATGTCTCCTGGCATGTCCCACGCATCTCCCACCACCCCTCATATCTCCCCGTGCTCCCCACATCCACCCATGCCCAGCTGGACCCTTGTGAAGTTGGAGCCCTCACCTATGAGCAGATGCATCACGCAGGCCCTCCCAGTTGCTGGGAAAGGCTCTCCAGATCATTGCTGCAACTGGGCTCCCAGCAACTGCAGATCTGGATGAAGGTAAAGTATGAGGGCAATTGGGGACATAACTTTCTTAATCACAATCCTCATGTACTAATGGTTAAGTGCATTGCCGCGTTCTATCTTTGCTGTTTAATCTCACTTATCTTGCTGAAGTAAAGATAACTGCACTTATTCACCTTGGTGTCTGTGAACTTTGTGCTGATCAAGTCCACTGGCCAAACAGTGATTATCAGGCTGATAAGTGCTTCCAAAGAAGGGGGTCAAGGTGCTCGAGAGGTTTGGCTGGTGACTGGCTGACTGTCGGCAGATGAAGCTCCCAGTTCCGTATGCCTCCTGTTCCTCACCCCATCCTGTACCTTAAGAGAGTGAGAACCAAACTCCAGCGCCTTGGCTCACAAAGCCAAACTTCTTGTTGGGTTCACCTGACAGACAAGCCAGGGAACATGCTGGTGAAGGTGGATGCTGGCTTGGCTGTGGAACCTGAGACCTCTCCCATGTGCTTGGCTGGAGGCCCGAATGACTCTGATATGCTCGCCTGGTGCCCTTCTTGTTGAGGCGTAGCCAGCAAGACAAAGAAACCAAGATCAAGACTCAAGCAGGAAGATTGTGCTCTACGCCCACTTCCCAATATGCAAATCAGGCATAAAGATTCCGGATCCTTATCTGTCCTAGACGGATTTTCACACAAACACATCCAAACCCTTTTCTGCATTGGACAGACAGACAGAAGCCTGCTAGGGATGTCGGGATAACACTGCACTCCACAGCACAGACTCTCTCCAAAGGCTGCTCTGTCTTCGATTGACTCCAGGTAGAGATTTGGCAAGTGTTGTGCCACCAATATCATAAATAGCTAAGATGTGTGTATGGCTGAATGGCTGTAAGTCTGTACTTACTTTATGTGTATGGATGAACAGTCCATGTGCTTACTTCTCTAGTGGGAAATCTATATAACCTAAAAAGTGCATTGATATATGTTTAGCAGCAGTGATTTCAAGCAATCTGTAATACACTCACAGACATGCATTCTTGAGCATGAAGACAGACTCTGATGCACCCTGATCTTTGCCCAGCACAGGGTCACATTGCTCTTGGCTGTGCTTTATGGCCAGGCATACGCAGCATGCTGCAACAGGAGCTTGGTACATGATGGTGGATTTCACCCTGGCACTGGGTGTTCTCCTCCACCTCAGGGGGGGTGACATCTCCCATCCTCACCAGCTCACAGCCACCCTGTGCCATGAGTGACCACGCAGGGCTGGTGAGCCACCTGCGGGCAGCCTGGCTCTCAGGGAGGACACGGCCCTTGGAATACCGTACAGCCCAGCTGGAGGCCCTGGGCCGATTCCTGGAGGAGAAGAAGCAGGACATCCTGGAGGCCACTGCCTTGGACATGCGCAAGGTGAGAGGGATGGGGCTGCTGGTGAGAAGTGCTTGACTTTCCTTCACTTTTTCCCCCTCATTTTTTCCTATCTGTTCTCCATCAGTTTCCTCCCTTTTGCTCATCTGCACTTCTCTGGGGTTGTCGCATGGTTGCTTGGGGAGAGGTGGCCTCTGCTTTTTGCTGTGACCTTCAACTCAGCTTTGGAGACACCCACAATGGGACACCACAAAGCAGGCCTCCTGATCACACAGAATTAGGTTCAGTCAGCTCTGCAGAAGCTTTTGCTGAGCACAATTCAATTCCTTGTGCCCATCCGCACCTCCAGAGCTGCATGTGTTGTTCTACTATCAGTGGAGCTAAAGCTCTTGAGATACCAAACATGTGTCTCCAAACCTGAGTCTCTGCTATGCCCCAGAACACGGTGGCACAGAGTGGTATGGGGCCAGGTAGCACATTGTTACATAGGTGGCATGTGGTAGACATGGAAGACAGTGCCACCTGTCTTCACAGCACAAGGCCAACAGTGGCATCTGGCCCTACTGAGGCCACCACACCCTACTAGGAGGGTGAGCGTGGGGCTTGGGAGGAAAACCATTGCAGTGGGGTGATGGTAGTGACCATGATGTCTTCCTGCATGTCCTCAGCCATCCTTCGAAGTGGAACTCTCTGAGATATCCATCTGCAGGAGTGAGCTCAACCACACGCTAAACAACCTGGGTGCCTGGATGAAGGACGAGAACGTGGACAAGAATTGGGTACAGGATGGCATCTGCCAGGGATGGGCAGGATCGGAACAGTGGGTCCTTAACAATCTCCTTCCTGCTGCAGGCAACACAGCTGGACTCGGCCTTCATCCACAAGGACCCCTATGGGGTAGTGCTCATCATCGGGCCCTGGAACTACCCCATCAACCTCCTCCTAGTGCCCCTCATTGGGGCCATCGCTGCTGGTAAGGCTGAGGCTGCATCCCTACTACCCAACGAGGGTACCAGGACCTCCACGTAGGCAACCTGAGTTCCCAACCCCAAGGGCGGTGATGGTGGTGGGTTTCTCTGCTCCCCAAGAGCCAGCTCCTCACTGGGAAGGAGCTCTTGTCCTACAGGTAACTGTGTTGTACTGAAACCCTCCGAAATCAGCAGGAACATGGAGAGGCTGGTGGCCGAGGCATTGCCCAGCTACCTTGACAAGGTAGGAAGGCTGCTGGCCACAGCTTCTTGTCCCTCTATATCCTGACAAAAAAAAAAAAAACAAAAAAAAAAAAAAAACAAAAAAAAAAAACCCACAGCTGAGTTGTATCCTGTATCATTCTCCTAAACCACAGGACTGCTTTGCTGTGGTAACTGCCGGAGTGGAGGAGACCACCAGGCTGCTGGAGAACAAGTTTGACTACATCTTCTTCACTGGTGCGTCCCATGGGGAGGCTTTGGTTACACCTCCAAGGCAAGGAGACACAAAAGGAAATGGACAAGATCAGCTTACGCTACAACCCTTGTCCACAGGCAGCCCCTCAGTGGGCAGGATCATAATGACGGCTGCTGCCAAGCACCTGACACCAGTGACGCTGGAGCTGGGGGGCAAGAACCCCTGCTACGTGTCTGACAACTGCAATGTGCAGAACGTGGCCCGGCGGGTGGCCTGGGGACGCTTCTTCAATGCGGGGCAGACCTGTGTTGCGCCTGACTACGTCCTGTGCAGCGTGGAGATGCGGGAGAGGCTGGTGCCTGCTCTGCGTGAGGCCATCGCAGAGTTCTACGGCCCCGAACCCCGCAATTCCCCTGACTTTGCCCGCATCGTGGGAGACAAACAGTTCCAGCGAGTGCAGGCGCTGCTGCGCAGCGGGCGTGTGGCCATCGGGGGACAGACGGACGAGAAGGAGCGCTACATCGGTGAGGGCACAGCATGCGCGGGGGGGTCCCTTGCTGGATCTGGTGCGGGATGACCTGTCTCTGCTCCTGCAGCCCCCACAGTGCTGGTGGACGTCCAGGAGAATGACCCAGTGATGCGGGAAGAGATCTTTGGCCCTGTGTTGCCCATTTTGACAGTGACCAGTGAGGAGGATGCCATCACCTTCATCAATGCCCGGGAACGGCCACTGACACTCTATGTCTTCTCATCCAGCACAAAGGTGGCAGCTTCCTCCACGTCCCAGTATCCACAGGGACAACATGGGGTGACTGCTCATAGTGCTCATTGTTCACGTTCCCCCATCCAAGGTGGTTCGTCAGCTGCTGGAGCGGACAAGCAGTGGTGGCTTCTGTGCCAATGACACCATCATGCACATGACACTGACTTCACTGCCTTTTGGTGGCATCGGTATGTCCATCTGTCTTTCCGTCTGCCTCTTTGTCCATCTGCCTGTCTGTCTGTCCATCCACCTGTCTACCTGCTGGGCCGTCCACCCATCCCTCTGTCCGTCCATCCCTCTGCCCCGTCTATCAGGTCCAGGTCCAGGTCCTCCTTCACCCTCAGTGCCGCGGCCTAGCACCGTCGCAGGCCCTGAGGCTTCATTCACTCGTTCAGGGCTAAGCGGCATGGGCCGCTACCACGGCCGTTTCACCTTCGAGACCTTCTCGCACCTCCGCTCGGTCCTGCTCCGTGCCGACGGCCGGGAGGCGCTGAACAACCTCCGCTACCCGCCGTACGCCCCGCGCCGCCTGCCGCTACTCCGCACCACCGTGGAGAGCCGCCGCCGCACCGTCGCCTGCACGCTGCTTTGAGCGCCGTCTCAATAAACGCTTCCTTCCGCCCTCATCTCCGCCTGACCAATCGCCGCGCCGCCCTGCCATCCCCTAGCCAATCCGCGAGGAAGCCCGCCCCTTCTCCCGCACGAATGGTTATTACTGCCGCCAATCGGCTTGCAGCGGCCAATAGAGTGCGAAACGTGGCTGTGGTCCCGCCCGGTGAAGCCAGCACCGCTGTGCGCATGCGCTGCTGCTCCCCGCGGCTGCGCACTGCACCTTGGGGGCGGGCCAGGGGTCAGGACGGCTGGGTCCTTGGGGGAGGTGAGGCCTGGGGGCGGAAAGGGGGCCTGGAGGGACTTGGGGTTGGGGGAGGCTTGGGGTTGAAGTGTCATCTCAAAGGGAGGGCGATGTGGGATTTCCTTGCGTGGGGAAGGGGCAGGAAATTCGGCTCCATTTTGTGTTGTGGGAGAGTGAATGTGGACAGGACACCCGGTTCTCTTGGGTGGGGGGCAGGAGGTGGAAGTCCCGTGTGTGTTCTGGGGCGAGGGGGGGCAGGACGCCCAGATCCCTCACCCAGCTGCTAGGATGCCCCTGTGGGGTGTTGTGCGGGGGAGGGGGGCACCTGGTGTTCCCTTATGGGAAGCAGTGCTGGGGGGCTGCCCAGGACCCCCTCAGTGCTGAGCATCTCCTGCAGCAGGATAGCACATGGCAGCGCTACGCTTCTTGCACCGGGCTGCCCGGGCAGGTAAGTGGCCAAACCGGGACCACCCTGCACCCCATTGCCAGCTCCGTGCTGCTGGCACGTCCTCCCCTCCACTCTGTCCTTCCCAGGTCCGCCTGTTCCCCCCTTGTGCTACCTGCGAGCACTCAGCACTACCACCCCCCGGGAGTGCTACAGTGAGTACTGCCCCCATCCCTGTCCCCATCCCATCCCAACCCTGACCCTTCCCAACCCCATTCCCCTCCCATCACCATCCCCACAAAGCGGAAGCTGCTGCCGTCCCCCCACTCCGTGGAGGGTGAGGATGGCGTTGTGCCCCCCCCACAGAGTATGTCAACATCCAGGAGCCGGCTATGGACATGAAGTCCATCACCGACCGTGCTGCGCAGACCCTGCTGTGGACAGAGCTCTTCCGAGGTGAGCCCTGTGCTGTGTCCCACCCCTGAGGTGAGATCGTGCTCCACTTGGGGGTGACACTATGCTCCCACAGGGCTGGCCATGACACTGAGCTACCTGTTCCGGGAGCCGGCCACCATCAATTATCCCTTTGAGAAGGGTCCTCTGAGCCCACGCTTCCGTGGGGAACACGCGCTGCGCCGCTACCCATCGGGCGAGGAGCGCTGCATCGCCTGCAAGCTCTGTGAGGCCGTCTGCCCCGCACAGGTGAGCACCCCCCGTGTCCCATCCTCTGTTCCCGGGGCTCCCCCTTCTCTGACACTGTATCTGGGGACAGGCCATCACCATCGAGGCTGAGCCCAGGGCAGACGGCAGCCGCCGCACCACGCGCTACGACATCGACATGACCAAGTGCATCTACTGTGGCTTCTGCCAGGAGGCTTGCCCTGTGGACGCCATCGTGGAGGTGAGGTGGGAGCGGGACCCACCTGCCATGGGAACCCTGAGCATCCTTTGCTGAATGTCTCCCACCCTGCAGGGTCCCAACTTTGAGTTCTCGACGGAGACACACGAGGAGTTGCTGTACAACAAGGAGAAGCTGCTCAACAACGGCGACAAGTGGGAGGCTGAGATTGCGGCCAACATCCAGGCTGATTACCTGTACCGGTGATGGTGGGGAGACCACACCGTGTGCCCCCCAAATCCCGTTAATAAAGTGGGCATCCACCAGCCCTTTCCTACACCCGAGCTCGTGCCTGCCTTGTCTGATTCTGTAGCCGGGGGGAGGATGCGTTGGTCCTGGGGGCTGCAGCCCACTGGGGCGGGGGACACCTTGTGGAGGAGTTTCCAGCGTTGGGGAGGTTTGGGGGGCGGGTTCGGCTGCCGGAGTGCCGCCCCCGAAGCGCCGGCGTGTTCCTGTGGGCAGCGAAGGGCCGGGCTCCGCACTTCCTCTTCCCCCAGGAAGAGCCCGGCCCTCCCCACCGAGCACCGGGTAGGAGCGGGCGGTGCCGGGTTGCTCACGGCTGCGAATCCCGGGAGGAGGGAGGGACAGCATGGGGCGGGCGCCGGGGCCGAGGGGCGGGGATGAGGGGTTTCGGTCCCCCAGGCCGGGGGCGCGTTGGCTGTGACTCAGATGCAGCTGAGCTCCGCGTGGAGCGGTGGGGGAAGGAGTTGGGAGGGTGGGGGGAGGAGGGAGTTGGGGGTGGGACAGCGTTGTGCAAGCGAAGTGCCGGGAACGGCGTGACCGCGGCCGACTCAGCCGGGAAGTGCCGTGTGACTTCCCCTGGCCCCAGCCCTTCAGCTCTGCCGTGGGGACAGCGCGGCTGAGGAGAGGCGGCAGGATCTCCCCATCCCACCCCATCTCTACCCTAGCCTGTCCCATCCCCGTCCCACCATCTCAACCCTTTTACATCGCGTTCCTCAATCCCATCCCCATCTCCATCCCGTTTCTCCATCTAATACCCCACCATCCTATCTCCATCCCGCCACTCCAACCCACCCCATCTCCATCCCATACCACTGCCCCAACCCATCCTATCTCCACCCCAATCTGTCCCATCTCCATCTCATTCCACCCCTATTGCAGCCTCCCCTGACTGCTCACCTCCCTCTCCCAGACACAGGGTGCCCCCAACCAGGCCGCCATGGGGTCCCTGTTCCGCAGTGAGGAGGTCTGCCTGGCGCAGCTCTTCCTGCACTCGGCCTCGGCGTACAGCTGTGTCAGTGAGCTGGGCGAGAGGGGGCTGCTGGAGTTCAGGGATGTATGTAGGGGGTGCAGGGACCCCCATCTGTATGGCCTTGGGGTGGTGGGACAGGTTGGGATGGGCAGGGTGGGCTGGGGGTTTGGGTAGCACGGGTGCAGGGGGGAGACTCAATGGCGTTTGGGTGTGGGGGATTGGGTTTAGGGACAGGAAATGGGGCATAGATGGTTTGGAGTGCTGTGGGTGTGAGGTGATTGGGATGGGTAGGTTTGGATGCTGTGTGTGTGGATGCTCTGGATGCAGGATATTGAGCTTGGGTGCTTTGGTGTGTTCTGGGTGCAGGGGAATTGGGATGGGTGAGTGTGGGTGCTGTGAGCACAGCAGTTGGGTTGCTGTGGGCACATGTGGGCTGGTTTGGGGGCTGAGGGGCCATGGGGTTTGGGTCCTCTGGGGATGGGTGCATGCTGACGGAGCTGCTGTGCACCCCAGTGCTGACAGCCATGACTGTGCCCCTCTTTCCCCAGCTGAACCCCCACGTGAGCGCCTTCCAGCGGCGCTTTGTGGGCGAGGTGCGGCGCTGCGAGGAGATGGAGAAGACCTTCAGTGAGTGCTGAACCTGGGGTTAGCTGGGTTGGGGGGGCGGTCCTTCCCCTTGATCCCTTCTCCCACATCTCCTCTTGCAGCCTTCCTGCAGCAGGAGCTGCAGGGGGCTGGGCGAGTGCTGGGGCCGTGCACCGAAAACCCTCCAGCACCCGTGGCCCGCGAGGCTCTACGAGTTCAGGAGCAATCAGAGCAGCTGGCGAGGGAGCTGCGCGAGGTCAGCCGCAACCGTGCTGCCCTGCGAGGGCGCCTGCAGGACCTGCGCCAATACCTGCACGTCCTGCGTGAAGGCCAGCGCCTCACAAGCATGCCGGTGGGTGCCGGGACCCACCAGACCAAGGGGACATCTGTCCCACACCCTGTCACCCACAGCTTCCTCTCTGTGCTCCCCGACACTGCAGGGCCCCCCTGGTTCGCCGACATCAAGCCGGGCGTTCTCTGAGCACGAGCCGCTGCTCGACCCCTCTGTGCAGCACCACCTTGACCGCAAGATCAAGTGAGTGGAACTGGGGATGTGGGGCAAATGTGGGGCAGAGGTGGTTGTAGGGTAAGGGTTGGAGATAGGTTCTGTGGCAGTGGTAGGATGAGGGTTGGAGTCGGGCCTATGGGGCAGCTTTATGGCTGTAGGGTGAAGTTTGGAGATGGGTTATGGGGCGGCGGTATGGCTTGTGGGATGAGGGTTGGAGGTGGATCATGGGGCTCTGGTATGACTGTAGGAGACCATTTGGAGATGGGCCTGTGGGACAGTTGTGTGGTTCAAGGACAAGAGCTGGAGATGGGCCATGCATCAGGGGCAGTAAGCAAAGCTGTAGGAGAAAGGTTGGGAATAGGCCACAAGGTGGGGGCATGGCCACAGCAGAG